ATCCCAGTGGAGAGGGAAATCTTTAAACAGTTATTAAGAAATAGAGTGGACATTGATGGGTTCAAAACAAAGGTCTTAGGGCAGGACTTTTGGAGTTTGGGTGGACCAGGGGGAACCCCAGCTGGTCCCTCAACTCTGAAGGATCCTAATCAAGTCTGTTCTAGTTACCCTAGGTTAGAGGAATTTCAAAAGCCAGAAGGCAAATGTGACAATGGGACCCTAACTTCAGATTGCCTGAGGTGATGATTCCATTATCTAATCAAGATAAAAATTGGTAGGTTTCCTTGGCTCCATGCCCAGCTGGAGACTCAAAGCGATAGGCACATTAATGGTAAAGTGGTCTGGAGAAGAGATATATCTGGGGTTCCTTAAGCTGGGAGGCCGATGCATTGTGAGTCCTAGTGAGAATTGTAGTTAGATTGGGAAGATATGAGAATACAAGGGGGTGGAATACTTACAGATTTTATGTAAAGTGATTGTGTCTCCTCCTTTATCTAAATATAAGTAGATACTGTGTCTGACTGTGGAACGTTTCCCTTACCTAGTATTATGAAACAGGAAGCATGTAAATTCTCCCTTCAACCACTATTGATTGGACATGCTAAATGGGAACCAATAAACTTGCCCAAGCCCACACAGGTTATTAATTTGAAAAAATATAGGATATCTGGTGAAAAAAAAAATGTCAGAAGCCTAGTGTTTGATTGGTTTATTTGGATTTTGGATGACACATATTTTACATTTGGAAATATGGCTAGCCCCTAACCATAAAATTACTAGAATGAAGTCTTGGAGTCCTTATGCAGACTGCAGTTTATGACAAAAGCCAGTGAGCACCACCCAGTGGCGACCACTGGGATTTTTTTAAATCCGAAAATTTCCATTTGAGGGGCGCCTGGGTGGCTCAGCCGTTAAGCATCTGCCTTCGGCTCAGGTCATGATCCCAGGGTCCTGGGATTGAGCCCTGCATCGGGCTCCCTGCTCCATGGGAAGCCAGCTTCTCCCTCTCCTTCTCTCCCTGCTTGTGTTCCCTCTCTCGCTATCTCTTTCTGTCAAATAAATAAAAATTTAAAAATCTTAAAAAAAAAAAAAAAATTCCATTTGAGAGACAACGAGTTGGCTATTGGGCTTTGATTGAAACTGCCCATAGGACTAAAGGAAGTAAAATAATCCTGAAACCTGAAATACTCATGATTATCTTTGGCAATGTTGGATAAACATGCTAATTAGGAAGGCCATGCCCAGAAGAGTTCAATAATAAAAAGGAAATGGTTTATAGAGGAACATGCTACCAAGGGAATATGAGGAGGTACTCAGTGTATTCAGGAGCAGGTGGTCTTTCTTCCCCTCTTTTATCACCTGAGGAGCTGCCAGATCCTATTGCCACTTGGGTGGTAGCAATGAATAGCTCTCAAATGACCGACAAAGAACTGTTTGGTTAATATGGAAGGCTGTTGCAAGATGAATGGTTTCCTTTGAGTGGGAAATATTAGCAATGGTATGCTAGTAAATATTTAATAACCAGATCTTCAAAGGGAAAAATAAGCCCTGAATTGTAGCATTGCCAACATCCGCTGTGTAGACACTCTCACCATAGACAGTTTCAAGCCTACCAACTCATGTTGTTATGAGTTAGGAAGAGATCCAGTAACACACCATTATGTAGTATTTCCATCATACAGTTAGAATAGATGTAGTACAATAGATGTAAATAACCTCAAGAACACAGATAACAGTGAGATGTACTAGAAAAATTAGGAAATAATCAGTTTCAAGTAATTATTACCTTTGGGTTTTTTTTAAAGATTTTATTTTATTGAGAGCGAGAGAGAGAGAAAGAGAGCATGAGCAGGGGGGAGGGGTAGAAGGAGAGGGAGAAGCAGACTCCCCCCTGATCAGGGAGGCTGATACGGGACTTGATCCCAGGACCCTGGGATCATGACCTGAACCGAAGGCAGATGCTCAACTGACTGAGCCACCCAGGTGCCCCTAATTATTACCTTTGTTTTTAATATAATGTGCTTATGAGTTATACCATTTAAATTATAATAACGACTGTGTTTGATAACCAGCTTGCAATATTCTTAAAAATTTAATAATCAGCTTTTTTTTTAAGTTGGTTTATGCAGGCTCCAGCACACTGATGAATATTATTTAGAAACCAAGATATAGGTGCTAGGCATGTTTATCACTATGGATGTGTCATTGCTCCTAGGCTCTTTCTTTTTTTTTTTTAATTAAAGATTTTATTTATTTGACAGAGAGAGACACAGCGAGAGAGGGAACACAAGCAGGGGGAGTGGGAGAGGGAGAAGCAGGCTCCCCGCCGAGCAGGGAGCCCGATGCAGGGCTCAATCCCAGAACCTTGGAATCATGACCTGAGCCAAAGACAGACGCTCAACGACTGAGCCACCCAGGCGCCCCATCTCCTAGGCTCTTTCAATGAACAGAATATGGAAATAGAATTTGTTTTTTTAAACCAAGGGTTTGTACCAATATTGCCAATTAAAATTAAACTTTAATTTCTTCTCTTAAATTATTGTATTTTATATTGTTTCTCTTTTTCCTTACTGTGAAAATCTTTAAAACATAAATAGCTTCAAAATTACAATACCAATACTGGTAGCTTTCTTTGTCTCCCTTAAGATCGTACAGCTAGATTTGGGAACACAAGGGTGTGGGGGCAGGGAGTTTGGGGGGACTGATTGGAGGGAAGGTGAAGTTCAAGGATGCTCTTGTTTTTAATCCCCACATGACTTTCTTAAATAAAGAAGCCTGGGACACAGTTAAAAAAAAAAAAAAAAAAAGACCGTACAGCTAGAGCCCTGTGTTCAAAGGTTACATGAAACAGATATTCTTCCAGAATCATTCCGTTATCATTGTTTTCATTTGTTTACTAGGTCTTGCTTGTATTCAATTTTAGGGTTTTGCTTTCTTTTTCCCTTCTAGGTTTAAGTGACCTTTCTGAACAGTAAAATATCAATATGGTTGGGAAGGTTTTTTTTTTCTTTGACCAGAACCATGTCACCTGACTACCAGGACATACATGTAAGGGAACTTTGGAACATTAATATTTACTATCTTCAGTCTCTGTAGTGGAGGCAACAGGGACAATGGTGCTGGGGTACCTGTTGGGTCAGAAGCCGGCAGTGTCTGCCACAAGGTATTATAGACGGGGGAACACCCCCTCATCCTACCTTGTCCAGGAATTGATGCAGAGATGAGGGACTCATGGCCCAGAGAGGGAAAGGATTCGTCTGTGGTCCTCCAGTAAATCACTGACATAGCTTACATAGTCAGTGCTCAAATCCTGGGCTCATGCTCTTAAATCAATGCTTTGCCAAAAAAAGTGGGTGGGGGAGGATAGTTTCATGAAAAGTGAGATTAACATTTGAACATTTTATCAGTGACTATCAAAGGTCATTTTCTAAGGTCTTTTGAGGTCACAAAGGTCTGTTTGATGTAGGGCCTTCCCTTAAAGAGCTCAGTCTCAGGTAGATTCTCTTCTAAGATATTTCATTAGTTTCCCAACTAAAGTGACCTAACCAAATAAGAGTGTGTCTTCCTCATGTAAGGAGATGTACAGAGGTAGGCTGTGGGGAGCTGGTGTAGCAGTTCCACAAGGCCATCAGGGACCAGGCTCCTCAAACTGTTCTGCAAGATTGTCCTTCATGAGTGGCACTCATCCTCACGGTTACCTCATGGTTGCCAAATGGCTGCTCTGCCTCCAGTATCTTATCCATATTTTAGGGAGGAAGGAGGAGGAAGGAACAAGGAAGAAGGGAATGAGAATTTCAGGAAAGGAAAACTTTCCCAGGAATCCCCAGCTCACTTCCGCTAAAACAACATCACGTGCCCCACGTTAACTACAAAGGAGTCTAGACAAAGTGGTGCTTTGGCTTAGAACATTGCACCCCTAAGCAAAGCTGGATTTGTTAGGAACGAAGAGCAGAGTAAATAGTTGGTGTCTGGCTGCACAAAAACAAATAACTCTAGGAGAAGGAAAAAACTGATTCTTTCCTCAAAAAACAACAAATGAAACAAGTTGGTAATTCTGGAAGGGGAGAGATTTACTCACTTCTGACTGGGTAGGGAGATCAGGAAAGGCTGCATGCAGGAGGTGGCCCTGAATTCAGCTCTGAAATTGAAGTAGGATGTGAATGTGGATGGCGCCGAGTTGCAAGAGGAAAAACTGTGAATGGGAGAAATCCTTGAATGATGGGAGAAGGATGATTAGGGTGAAACTGGAGAAGGCGACATTTTCCCTTTGGCATGGAAAATGTTAGGAAAGGCACCGGGAGACAGAAAGCAAAGGTGAGGTAAAATTGTAGAGAACCTCATTTGCAAAGCAAAGAAGTTTGGAACTTTTCCTATCAGCAGTAGGAATTCCTGTCCATTTTCATTTTCCCAAAGGATCTGTTAAGGCTGTCCCATCCTCTCCGTGCCTCACGACCCACACACTGACTCGAGCCTGTCATTCTTTCCCAGCCACCACTCCAGGCTCCTCCCTGGCCACCTGGCCTGAGTTGCTCCAGTCTAAGCCATTTCTCCTGTGTCCCCAGTGGGTTATTCCAAACGCCCAGACTGGCCCTGTCCCTCTGAGGTACACAGCCCTTCCATGAATCCCTATTAGCTTTGAGACAGAACCCAAAGACTTTGTAACTGAGCTTCTCCCAAGTGGACTGGGACTCGGAGGGAAAGACCAGAGGAGAGAGGGCACGTGGAATTGAGTCCTCACAGAGATCGTAGGAGGGCTGCCTGTCCCTAGATGCTCTTGAACGTCTCGTCCCACATAATTCCTGCTTCTGAGCGTGAACAGTCCTCCAGGATGACCAGAGACAGAAGCCCCTGGCTTGCTAAGAATACTTTCTGCTCCCCCATCCCCACATCCTCTTTCAGTTGCCCATCACCTCGTCTTCTGAAGCACAAGGCTCTGATGTGAGAGCCAGCTGTGGCGAAGGCCCCGGCGCCTCCTGTTCCTGAGGACCACTCCTGCGTAGATGGCGGGACCACTGCCGCAGCTGGGTGAGTGGGACGAGAGACAGTGCTGGACGTGCCTGAGGCTCCGGGACTGGGGCGGGCTGGGCTGCAGGGGTATGAGAAGAGAGGACGTTAGGGTGTAGAGCACCGAATAACCAACGTGGACTAAACTTCTGTGTGCTGGGTCCTGGCAGGGCTGGGAGTGGCTGAGGTGAATAGCAGATTGGGCCAGGGAGTGGAGTTGGGGGTAAGGGTGGGCACTCAGCCAGGGTGGTTGAAGGTATGAGAGCATTAGGAGCTGGAAGGCCCAGGGTTAGTCGGGTTTGCCATATCTGTCAGCCACTGTCCACAGGCATGCTTTCCCAGAGGGTAAAAATAAATAATCCAGAGGACAGCAGTGGGGGAGAGTCCCTGCAAATTCCTCATCCCCCCCAAGTGACCCAGATGAAAAGTCAAAATCAAGAGCTACTGTTTAGGGGAAAATTAGCCCCTTTCTTCCGGTAACCTCAAACAACTCCATTGAAAAGGTAGGAAACACTAAGAACTGATTCCTCATTGGAGACCTTGTAGAGTGTGACTATTCCTTATTAACTGACAAAAGTCACCAAGTGGACAATATATCCTACCTATTCTATGTAGAGTGAGGCAGTCGTGAAAATGTTCTTACCCAGAAAATGCCAAAGCAATCTCTGCTTAAGATGAATACTCAATCAAAGGCCACCTGGGACTGGGAAGAAAGAAGTCTAGAGAGGTGTTCTGTTTACTGAATGGGTAACACTTTACCATATATTCAGCTAGGAACACTGCCAGCCTTAGGGCATTCATTCTTACATCCATGATAATAGGATACAGGTTCAATGAATACCCCTATTTTCCAAACTGGGAAAGAACAAAGAGGGGGGAGGGGCTTGGCCAATGGCGTCCAGACAGTAAGAGACAAAGGAGAAATTGATCACAGGTGGAGCTAGGAAGGAGCAGAGCCTGAGAGATGGGAGGAAGAGGAAGTAGGAGCTGAGATGAAGAAGTCTAGCCTGGGGCTGGCGGTGGGGGTCAGGTAAGGGGTCAGAAGCAATGTAGATCCTCAGAAAGCTCCCTTGCCTTAGTCAGGTCCAGTGTTCATTTTCAGGCCAGGTGAGGAGAGAGGATGAAGGGAAACTGGTCTGTGAAGCCCAGCTCCTCTGGGCTTCCAGAAGGTCTTTCCGAAGCTCCTTGGGAATCATGAATAAGGAAAAGCCTGGGTCCTGGAGGAAGTGGAGACAGGAAGTCAGGATGCCTTGCTGACTGCTGACCCTCCCTCCCCACAGCACCCGCCAGGCTGCTCTATTCCTCTTGTTCCTTGGAGAAGACTCTGCAGTGCAGCTGTTCCTTCCATGGGATCCCCACACCCTCCGTGCAGTGGTGGATGGGAGGTACTCCTGTGGGTGTGAACAACACAGATGGCAGCCTCCAGGTGACTTCCACAATAATTGCCCCCTGGGCCAACAGCACCATCAGCCTGACAGAGCAGCCAAGAATGAGCACGAGGCTTCTCTGTAAGGGGAAGAACAAAAATGGAACCCATGCTTTGAGCATCCTGCTGATACCAAGTGAGGGTAGAGGGGGCCCAGTGACTGGGTGAGGAAGAGTGGGATGGGGAGGGAGCAGAGCTTTAGCTCAGATTCCAAGGCCTCAGAAGAGAAGTCTTTCTCACAGGCTATCTTTTTCCAGGAGAGAGGTCTTCGCCGGGCAAGACTTTCATTAATGGGCTGATCCAGGGCCTTGTCTATGGAGCCATTGCAACTGCACTGCTATTCCTCTGCTTCACCCCACTCATGTGAGTACCAGGGATAAAATTCTACCTGGCAGGCCCTGCAAGGCTGGCATGGAAAGGGAAAGACAGGGCCCTTGCCCCCAAGGAGCTTAGGGTCTGGCAAGGGAAGAAGGCACCAAACATGGTCACCACAGTCCAGGGCCATCAGGACTATGCTGAGCCACTAAGAGGTTCAAAGGACAGAGCTTTTCAGCGAATTTCATAAAAGGAGGAAGTGGCAGCCCTGGAGAAGCCAGCAGAGTCCCTGGGGGTTGCTGTCTGAAGCGGGCTGTCATTTGTTTGGTGGAAAATAGTATACGCGTACCCCAGAGACACATTTGAGGAATTGCCAGTGTCTTTGTGCAATGTCAGGTGCATTGAGAGTGAGAGGAAATGGCTAAAGATGAAGTTGAAAAGGCTTCTTGGTGTTAGTTCATAAAGACTCTTGAAAGTTGGCTAAATGTGTTGGCTAGAAGCCCAGAATGAGAAGGGCAGAATTGCCAGAGGTCAGGCCAGAGAGTTTGGCAGAGGGGCCTCTGGCCAGTCTGAGTATCTCGGACTCTATCCTCAGTTGGGAGCCATGGAACTGTGCTAAAGTGGGAAGGAAAGCTCCTAGTGCAAGGTGTCTGTACACAGACCAAAGAGCAAGAAGAGCCCAAGGCCTGAAACCGGGCAGGAAGTTGGTGCCACAGACTACACTGCAAAGAGCCAGGTTGGAGCCAGGCAAGTGATGAGGGGCAGTCAAAGAGATGGGACTTGGGACTGATGGACTATAACGGTGAGAAGAGAGAGGCACAAGGCAGCAGGGCAAACTGGGGAGCTATTTTTAAAGCATAATCAGCCAGACTTAAAGACCAATAACAATCCTTTACAGTTTGCAAAGCCCTTTCAGAGCTGACCTCATCTGAGCCCCACAGCCTGATAAGCAAGGTCTCCCCATTTTACAGAGGATGAAACCAATTCCCAGAGAGGCTGTGTGGCTTGCCCTCAACAATACAGGAAGCCAGTGGTGTCACTGAAGTTGACCTTGACCGGAACTTCCGGTCAAGGCTAGAGCCCATTGGGGGGCAGAGAGCCAGAACTGATCGGGGGGGGGTCATTTCCTTAGCATGAAATATATCAGAATGAAGCTGTCAAAGAAAGTTGCAGCGGTCAAAGCAACAAACAACCCTAAAGTCAGAGCAAGCCAAGAAGCCAAGATGCCTCTGAAGCCTCAAGAGCCAGAAAAATCCACAGTCAGCCCATCTTCAGAGAAGCAGATATTGGTGGGTATCCATTGTGCCTGGAACCTAGTCTATCAGAATAATGGCAGTAAGACTCACAAGGAGAGACACGTACAGTGTTTAAAGGAGTTATCATCCTCAATCTTACAGGGCATCTAGAATGCCAGAATGTGCTGGCAGATTATCTTATAGATGATGAAGGGAAGAAGGATGAAAATTAAGAGAAATAAAGACTAATTAGAATCAGCAACGTACACACACACACACACACACACACACACACCTTCACACTGAATTCACATTGAGAAGGGGGTCAAAAGAACCCCTAACAGTGGTTGTAGCATCAGAGTAGAAACCAGAGCTTTGGTTTCTGAGTGTCTGGCAGGTTGTGGTCAACACGTTCTGTAGATGCCACAGGCCCATGTTAGCCTGAAGTGCTTAGAGACCAGCCCACAGCCAAGGTACTCCTTCATTTACCTTGAACCCCATATCCTCAGCAGAGCTTGGAAGAGACAGGCCTAGCTGTTATTTACCATTTATAATTCTCTAGGACCAGAAATGCCCTGCTGCCCTCCTTGCACTCTACACTAGGAGCTGGTTTATCCACTTTGTGGATAAATCATGCATCTGTTAAATTCCACCAAAATGTCTTACAGTATCTCTTAACCTCCATGCTGGGGTCTCAGAAATAGGTGAGACCCAGGCCTTGCCGTCAGAGAGCAATCAGGCTGGTGGAAAGGCAGCCTTACAGTAACAGGGCTGAGATGGGGGTTATGGTTACCCAGAGGAAGGAGGGACTGACCCTACCTGGGGAAGTCAGGCAGAACTTCCCAGAGGACTCTGGGGAACACTTGGTGGGCTCCTGGTGCTGGGAATGCACACGGAGGACCAGCAGGAGAAGACAGGGTTGCAGACTCCAATCATGAGATTCTGAGAAAAGGTAAAGCCAGTGCCTACTCCACATGACTGTAATTCTGTGCTCAAAGAGAGAGACAGGATTCTTTCTTTTTAAGATTTGGATACTTCACTTCTAGACCTGCTCAACATCCTTCTTTCTTTGCCCTGCTCTGTAGCATCCCTTACCCTAAACTTCCAGAAAAAAGCAAAATAAACTGGAACTGATGAAGCCTGTGAAGACTACATGCCTACCTGGAGGCCCCACTGTCCATGGAATTACCGCAGTCTACAGAATAATACTCAGCAACCCCCAGAAACCCTGGAGTCTATGACAAACCCAAAGCCCCCGGAGTCTCCTCATCCCACGAGGACCCCTCAAGCCCCACCCGTCCCTCACACTGATTCTCCATTGAATAGGGTTACTTTGGAACCTGGTCTTAGAACGTTTGAAAGCAAACTCTATGATCTGCTGTTCGGGTTAACTAGAAGAAATATGCCTTGGCCTATGGTGTCAAAGGAAGGGAAAATAAATATGAGACCATGGTCCACCAAAAAGTAGTTTTGGAGCCCCTACTGTATGCCCAGAACCTGGAAGATACATACAAGAACACCAGGCTTTAGAGCCATCATATATGGACTGAATACAAACTTCAGTGCTTAGTGGCTATATATCTTTGGATAAGACCTTTCACCACTGCCCTGAGGCATACATGGGTGGAGAGTGAGTGAAAAGTGGTGTCCAGAGGTGGAGGTGGAGAAAAGACACAAAGTGTGTCCAAGAGCCCAGAGGGGGTCTATGCACTGGAGCTCAGGTTGAACAGTGAGCTCCTGAGGTCCCTGAATGCCAAGATTAAGGCATTAGAACCTTATCTGGTAGGATGTTAATCCTGACTCCCTTAGAATGTAAGTTCCACAAAACAGGGATCTTGTCTGTCTTGTTTTCTGCTTGTACCACCAGCACCTAGAATGGTTCCTAAAATATAACAGACTCTCAAAAATTTTTGTTGAATAATTGAGTGAATGAACGAACGAATGAATGAATGGATTATAAGCCGTTGCAAGGTTTGAAGCAAAGAAGTAGTGGCCAGATTTGCAATGATGTGGATGGAACTAGAGGGTATTATGCTAAGCTAAATAAGTTAGTCAGAGAAAGACAAATACCATATGATTTCACTCATATGTGGAATTTAAGAAACAAAACAGTTGGACATAGGGGAAGGGAAGGAAAAATAAAATAAAATGAAAAGTGAGAGGGAAGCAAATCATAAGAGACACTGAACTCTAGGAAACAAACAGGATTGCTGGAGGGGAGGTCAGTGGGGGGAAGGGTAACTGGGTAACGGGCATTAAGGAGGGCACTTGATGTAATGAGCACTGGGGTTACATGCAACTGATGAATCACTAAATTCTACCACTGAAACTAAAAAAAAAAAAAAGAAGTGGCCAGATACATAGTGAAAGATCATTTTAGGAGTAGTTATTGAAGATGTACTTAGAAGACTGGAGGCAAAGAGCCCACTTAGGAGGTTAGTGCAATACTTCTTGGCCAGGCTGAAAGGCAGGCATACAAGGAATGAGAACAGGAATCTGGCATGAGAATGGACCACACCTGTGTACTGTTCCCCTCAGAATGGATGATACTTCCTTCTGGAGCCAGATGCTGGTAATTTTTAGAGGTTGCGAAAAGGGTCATCTCTTCCCTGGGGCATTATTTGTGTGTAAATCCAGTGGTTCTCCATCCAGCACAATGTGATGGTCATCCTGTACCCAAGAGCAGATGTTTATATAAGCCCTCACATGTATAGGCACCCTTTTGGCATGCAGTTCACAGATTCCACAGAAATAGGAGCATCCACTTCGTGCCAGATAATGAGGTGAACAAGCCAGACACTGGCCCTGCCTCCATGAAGCTCGTGGTCTACACAGGTACACAATGAAGGAATAAAGGCAAAATTGCAGCTTAAAATGTTGACAAGTGCTAGGAAGAAAAAGGACCTAACACTATGAGAAAGTATAACGGACCAGGGGAGGAACCTAGTTTGGATTAGAGAATCAGAGAAGGCCTCTCTGAGAAAGTGACATCTGTGCTGAGATCGAATGGATTATTAGGGTCTGGTCAGCAGAACAGTAGATTCTAGGCTCTGGGATGGGAGTCCAAGAGCCGAGAGGGGGTCCATGCACCAGAGCTCAGATGGAAGGGTGAGATCCTGAGGTGCCAGACCTTTCAGGGCTTCAAAGACTCTGGTGAGAAGTTTATGTTTTATCCTCACTCACGGAGGGAGGGTTATTTCCTCATGTGCTTTGTAATTTCGGAAAGCGGGCTCCTCTAAGGACTGGAGAATGCCATCTAGAAGAGAAATGGGTTAGAAGATGGGAACTGGGTTGGGACTAGGTCCAGGATAGGTTCTGACAGAGAATGGAGAACTGGGCCTTCCTCGTGTGTCTCGGTTTGTTCGTGAATGGGACCCTGCTTGCAGGAAGGGAAAGGGGCACCGAGATGCCCTCTGATGGATGGGCCCTGAGAGTCAAGCACTTGGCATTTTGTTCTTTGGTCGATGGCTTTCAATCCACCCCATCACCTGCTTTCCCACAAGTACTGGCTTGAGGAAGGAGCATCCCTTACAGAGTGATTGGCCTGCGTCTCCAGGACCCGGTAGGGGTCTAGAACTTCTGGCTCAAGATAATCGAAGCACCGGTTGCAACGGACGGCCTCAAGCCCAGGAGACCAACGGTTCTACTTCACTGTCTCTCCCTGCCCCAGCAGCCCCCACACGCATCCTCAGGCCCTGATTAGCTCTGGACAGATTCACGCGTGCTCACTGGTACGCCTGGGGGGCGGGGCTTCGGGGAGGGGCATCCCCACGTGACCTCTGGCCCTTGGGACGTTGGCGAGGCTGGAGACTCACAGGTCACCTAGTGAACTGGTTATGAGTGAGCTAATCAGTTAACTTTCCTCTACCTTAGTCCCTTCCCAGTGAGGCACTCAGTAGTTGTACACATGCTTATTGCATGTGTCAGTTGATCCGGCTCATCGAGAGGCATTAAATCAGCCATCAATTCATCCCTCTGAAAAGTAAGTTCCGGTAAGTAGTAAGTCAGCCAATCGGTGAGTTTGGCTAAGTGCACATGATGCACTTAACCAAACTCAAAGAGGACGTTGAGTTGTTAAGGAAATAGCAGAGTGGAGACGCGCTGAGGACAGTCCAGGCTGGAGCTGTGGGCACCCAAGACGAGGTGGTAAGTCTGGAAAAGGAAATGACTGTTTAGCGGGAAGAGGAAAGAGGTTTCTTGTGGAGAAAACCCAGGGCTGCGCCAAGCCCTGCAGAAGGGAATGAAACTTGGAAGAGATCAGAATTTTGAAGTCGGAAGGACCATTACACACTGGGCACCTGCTCATTTTACAGATGGGGAAAATGGGGGGAAACGAGAGGGAACAGCACTTGCCTAAAGTTTCCAGCGAGTTACTGGCAAAGCACTGTCTGGAACCACCCCAGAGCTCTCCTCAATCCTTGATTTGAGGTTGTAAATAAATCACTATATTCAATTAGATTCTGAGAATTAATTTCTTATTAAAATTTTTAATTTCAAAAATTAAAAAAAAACCCACCTAATCTAACTGAAAGGAGAACTAGACAAATCAACTCTCCCCTCTCAGTAACTGAGCAAGCAGATGAAAAAATTGGTATGGATATAGAATACCATCAACTGGGGTGCCTGGGTGGCTCAGTTGGTAAGCATCTGCTTTCATTCAGGTCGTGATCCCAGGGTCCTGGGATCGAGCCCCAGGTTGGGCTTACTGCTCAGCAGGGAGCCTGCTTCTCCTCCTCCCTTTGCCTGCTGCTCCCTGTGCTTGGCTCTCTCTCTCTCTCTCTCTGTCAAATAAATAAAATCTTAAAAAAAAAAAAAAAGAATGCCATCAACCAAATTGACTTAAATGACATTTATAGAATATTCCATCCAACAATAGTAGCATACACATTGTACTCAACAGCTCCCAGAACATTTAGACCATGTTCTGACCTATAAAACAAGTCTCAACAAATTTAAATGAATTGGAATCATATAAAGTATGTTTTCTGATCACAGTGGAATTAAACTGGAAACTAATAGTTGGAAAATCATCAAGACTTGTGCTTATACATTTTTTTCAGTGAATATTTATCAGACAAGAAAGTTTCTAAGACCGTGGAGGACACAAAGATCTATTTGATGTAGGATCTTTCCTCAAGAATCTCACTCTTGGATAGTTCCCCTGGTAGGATATTTCACCAATTTCCCAACGAGAGCAACAACCAAATGAAGAGGAAGCACGTTAGTAGGCTGTACAAGGTGAATGTAGCAGCTCCACAAAGCTGTCAGGGAACCAGAACCCCTGTACTGTTGTCACTGACATCCTTAGTCTGTGGCTTTGATCTTTATGGTTATCTCATGGTTGCCAAATGGCTGCTCCACCTCCAGCATCACATCCATATTCCAGGGAAAGAGGAGGAGGAGGAGCAAGAGGGGATGCGTTTTGGAAAAGAAGAAAACAACAAAGAGAAAGTGGTGCTAATATCAGAAAAGCAGAAATCCCCAAAGTCTTCAGCAGGTAGCTTCGTGGTTGGTATTCTAAGTAGACAAGTCTCTCAAAATATTTGCTTAATAATAAATCTAGCAGAGTCCAAGGTTTTTATTTGCATTGCACATGTAGGAGAAGAGAAGAGTACAATCTTACAGATAGGTGTACAATATAAGAAGACAGAGATGTCAGTTATAATATTATTGTTACCAGAGCAATAAATTATCAAATAAGACAGCTGGTCAGAATTCCATTTTATTTGGATATCATTTTCATAAGACATGGAATAATTTCTAATGTCTTTAGAGTCTCCTAAGACCACTTTGTTTAAATTGTTCTTCCAAGGGCAGATTTGTATCAACAGAGAACAGAACAAGTCAGTAACAGTCATGAATATTCATACAAAACTGTATATTGTAAAGGAGAACATAAATTATATTCTAATAAACATTCTCAGTTTTGGACAATATCAAATCAGATTCCTTGAACCCTTTTATGACACAGAACAATATCTTTTGATTTATAGCTTCAGGGGACATGAACATCTTTTTCAATTCTTTCTAAGACTTGTTCCCCATGTTTCAAAACCTTTGAAAATGATTTTCATGACTTCCCCCATCGACTTGGGAGAGAGGCCAAGCTTCTCAGCCTGGCAGTTAAGGTTCTTCAAAGAGGGAAGGACCTGGGGGTGAAGACTGGAGGAGAAAGAAGAAAGACATGGTATTGAGGCTTCAGAGAGAGTCTTGGAGACACTGTTCTATCCTTGAAGCTCCTTAGCATCTGTTCCCACGAGGCTCCTAATTTTCAAGGTGAACAGAATTTAAGAGTGATTGAAGAGACAAAAGCCCCCAGTAGGCCATGAATTTACCTCTACCTCCCCCTCATGCCTCTTACTGCTGACCCTCTCCTCAGCCATTCCAAATCCTGTCCTCCACAGCCTGGATGAGGCCAGAGTGAGCAGCAGGGTGGGTCCTGGCCGTCTCTTGTCCCTGAGACCCTGTTGGTGCTGATGTCATTGCTGCTGTTATGGTGGGGTAAGTGGAATGAGAAGCAGGGTGGGACGGGTCTGAGGAAGAAAGAAAAGGGTAGGGGTGAGGTGGGTATTGGTGGGGAGTGGAAGACGGGCAAGGGCCGAAGTAAGGTGAAGAGGTGAAGACATAGAGAATTAAGCACTTGATAAATAATAAGTAATAAACGTCTTCCATGTGCCTGTTCTGTGACCCACAGTGTGTCCCATTTCATTTACCCAACAACTCCCTGAGGAGTTATTGTTCTCATTTCACAGATGAGGAAACAGGCCTTGGGAGATTCAGCAACTTGCCACAAGTCACTAGAAATTTCAGTATTGGAGTGCCCAACTCTTGTGACTCTTAGTTCCATTTTAATGGCAGCCCATGCCACTCTAGAACTTCAGTGATAAACATACACACATCTGCTCTCTCAACACCATCATCTGTATGGTGGGTGTTAATTAAGTCACATCTTAGAGAAGAGAAATAGCATGGTGCTCCAGAACCAAGAGTGTTGAGACCCCGGTGGTGATGTTTTGAAATACTGGACTTAACGCGTGGAAAGCCAGGTTCTAGGCCTGATGCTGTTACTCCTTTCTCTGTAACCTGAAGCAGGCCCTTAACCTCTCTGAACCCGTTTCCCATCTGTCTAAGGGACTATAAAAAACCATTATAAGGATGGCTTAACCTAATTTCTATGAAGGTGTTGGAAAATCTATAAACACTTATACAGGTCAGTGTTACTACCATAATTTTAGGATGGCATTACTAGAAGTGGCCTCGGGAGCCGTGAAGTTCAGCCTCCCTCCATTTTGTACATAAGGGAGCTGCCACCTGGGAAATGAAGAAAGCAGGGAAAAGAATAATTGTTCAGTGAAGACCAAAAGCTAAGTTACAATCTACAATTATTATAGGGCACTATGTGCTTTTGTAGTTACTATCTCTTAATTCTCACAACATTGCAGCACTGGTAGTATTGTGCCCATTTTACTGATTGAGAAACTGAGATTCAGAAATGGAGCTACATGGCCAACTTCACAAGATAAAATTACTGCCAACAATAAGAACAACAAAAAAACCCAGCAGGCTAAACTGGGGTGGCACACTCAGGAGTCCACAAGACCACCCTCAGGTTCAGTGATTCACAAGAAGCACTCACAGAACTCAGCAGAATTGTTATATTTTCAGTTACAGTTTATCATAACAAACAAATGGAGTTTAAAATAAGCAGAGGGAAGAGGCACGTAGGGCAGGATCTAGGAGAGAGTAGGTATGAGCTTTCCCTTGTCTTCTCCCAGTAGAGTTGTGCATACGGTGTTTACTTCTCCTGGCAATAGTGTTTGGCGGTATGCCCAGTGTTGCCAAGCAGGGAAAGTCACTGAGCTTTAGTATCCAGGGTTTTTATTGGGGGCCTGGTCCCATAGGCATGGCTGACCTTAGTCTCCAGCTTCTCCAGAGGTCAGGCTGATACCACATGTGGCCCAAGGTCCCCACCACAAATCACTTTGTTCATATAGCCTATCTGGCCTGACCCATGGCCCTAGGTAAATAGACACTCTTATCAGGAGGACATTCCAAGGGCTTGGAGGTTACCTCCCTAGAGCTGGGAAAGGGTCAAACCTTCCTAGGGGTAAGGTTAATCCTTTAATGCACAAGTGGGATACTGGAGGACACTAGGTAAGTCAGTTTTTCAACTTGAATCCCTCCCCACAGGGTTACTTTCTCATGTTTTGGTGGAAGTCAAGAAGATACCAGTGGAAGAGATACAATCCTTGGAATATTTGAACTTCCCAAGGAATCCCCAAGCAATTCTGTACCCATAGCCTACTGGCTCAATAAAAATATCAGCTCCCATGTAGCTATAAATCAACCCAGTGCTACCATAGATAATAACACCAAGGGCAGATTCCGCACTATTTGAAACCTTGAAGAACAAGACTGTACCCTGCTGGTCCACAATGTACTTAAAAGGAACAGCATGACATACTTATTCTGTGCAGATCTAGAAACCAAGAGTCCTTCCTGTAGGGGGATATCAAACTCTCCATATCAGATGACATTCAATCTCATTCAATGGGTGGTTTGTAAAAAAGATGTTCTGGTAATTGTGTGGTTTTTACTGCATAGGGCTTTATAAAATCCTAGGCATTTCATTTTTACAACAATAATACGATGATATAGGTACAATTGATAACTTTATTTTTCCAAATAGAAATGGCAAAGAGAGGGGAAGTGACTTACCCCACAGCATCCAGCAAGTAAGAGGTAGAGGGCCAAAGTGATCACAGATCTGCTGGAAAGGGGCAGAGCCTGAGGGGAGAGTTGGATTGGGAGGGAAGATGCAGCGTAGGAGCTGACCCTAGGAGGTCTGAGCTAGGGGACAGGTAAGGAATCATAGGCAATGTAGATCTTGGAAAATTCTCTCACCCTCAGTCTTGAGAGTCCAAGGTTCAGGTTCAAGCTCTGCCTCCTTAAGCAAGTCTCCTCAGTTTGCTCACCTAGACAGTGCAGAGAAGGGAAATATACTTGTGAAAATCTAACCAACAGTAACAGTCGGGTTCCATGAGGTTATCAGAGTAGGCGAGGGGTACCAAGTGAACTTATGGGTGAGAAAGCACTTTGTAACCTGGAAACACTGTGCATCATTGAAGTATCCATGAGAGTCCCTCTTTTCAGTCCAATCTGTCTTTCCCTTCAGACCAGACCCAGAAACCAGAGCTCCACATCCTAGAGATTCTTGTGGCTGGGGATCCTATGACCTTGACTTGTACCGTCAAAGGCACCTGAAAAGAAAGCAAAACCCCTTTCCTTTCCTGGAATTGGCCCACCATGTTCTCCAACACAGATGGCTCCAGCAACTCCTCCTCCTATTGCTGCACTTCACCCTGAAGCCTTAGGATTATAGCACCACCCTCGGATGTCGTTTGAATTTCTCCCCAGCTATGTTCACTGGAAGTGCTGTGGTCATGTTCCAAGTGGTCTGTGAGTGCTGGTGGGCAAAGGAAGATCCAGAGTCTGGGAGAAGGGGTGGGCCCAGGAGAAATTCCTTAGTCCTGGGGTGGGGTTGGGTGGGAGGAGTCTGGGAAGCTGTCACATCTTTACCGGGCTTCTGTGGCTGAAAGACCAGAGGTAAGAGCTGAGCCAGAATCAGACACAGATGAAGAAGAGGATGAAGGGGAACTGGTCTGAGAAGCCCAGCTTCTGTGGGCTTCCGGAAAGTCTTTCCGAAGCGACTTGGGAATCAGGAATAAGGAAAAGGCTGGGTGGGTCCTGGAGAAAGTGGAGAAAGGAAATCAGGATGCCTTGCTGACTGCTGACCTTCTCTCCCCATAGCACCCACAAGACTGCTCAATTCCTCTTGTTCCTTGGAGAAGACTCTGCAGTGCAGCTGTTCTTTTCATGGGCTCCCCACACCCTCTATGGAGTGGTTGTTGGAAGGTGTCCCTGTGAGTGTGAACAACACAGATAAGGTCCTCCAGGTGACTTCCACCATATCTGGCGCCTGGAACAACAGCACCATCAGCCTCATCGGGGAGCCAGACATACTCATGAGTCTCCGCTGTGAGGGGAGGAACCAATATGGAATCCATGCTGCACGTATCTTCCTCCTACCAGGTAGGTACACAGGGGTCTACTGACTGGGCTAGAACGGCAATACATGGGAATCAAAATGAGGATGGGTACAGGCTCAAACTTCACAGCCTTAGGGGGAAAAAAAACCACTCTCACTTCCTTCTGATTCCAGATAAGCATTCAGATTCCAATGTGTTGGTGAAAGGGCTGACCCAGGGCATTGTGTATGGATCCATTATCTCCACACTGTTCTTCTTCTTCCTTGTCCTCCTCACGTGAGTATCAGGTTAAAATGCATCATCAAGCCTTTTCCAACACCTACTACATTTATTTATGTTATTTCCTTCATCATCATTCTTCCAGTCTGTTCTTCTTTGCCCTCTTAACATGGTCTCTTATATAATTTAATTTAGCCATTCTTCTTCTCCAATATTTGCATTTAAGACTATAAATTTCCCTCGAAGCATGACTTTACCTGCATCTTACAAACTTTAATACAAAGTATTTTAGTATCACTTGGTTAAAATATTTCTAATTTCCATTATGATTTTTGACCCAGGAGAGTTTTTCTTAGACACACCAGTGTTTTCTAATAATCCTGTTTTCTTTATTTCTAGCTTAAATCCAATAAGTGGATTTAATACTATGCTTTATTTCAGTTATTTTCTTTGTGGCACAATTTTTGTGTAGTTTTTATAAATATTCCACATAGGCTTAAAAAGAATGTGTATTCTACACTTGATGAAGGCAGTGTCCCACAGATACATAGCCTTTAAATCAAGGTCATCTTTTCTAGTTGTACTGTGACTTCTGCTCAGTGCCCTTCTCTGCACTTCACCTCCCATCCCTGCTCCCCTCTCTCACCTGGCTGACATTTACTCATCATTTAGGGCTCAGCTCACAGCCCTTCCATCACGTGCTCCAGGAAACCTTCCCTGGCACTGGGCTGGGTGCCTTTTCAGGGCCCCCACAGCCATCTGGGCTTTTGGATACTATTAGTGCTAATGGTTCTACTCTGATGTGACTAAGTGTGGATATCTTTTTTTGTCTGTTTGCTGTTATGTACAACTTTTTGGCCTCTTTCATCTGTGTTCTGGTATCTTTTATCAACCCTGGAAATTTTTCAATCATTGTTTCATATGTTGCTTCCACCCTTTCCTTTCACTGTGGGCTTCTCATTTAATATTTCTCAGACTTTCAAAAAAAATGTTTCTCAGGCTCTCTTTTTTTCTCTGTTTTTCCTCTTGCCCTGTGTCCTGCATTTTCCAAGGATATAGACAAGTAAGCAAGTGCTAGGTTAGCGATCCATACAAGGGAGATACCAAGGGGACCCCAGCCTTCAGAATCTCCATCCTTGCAGGGGAGGGTAGCATCCATACTGCCTAGAAATCCTCCCACACAGGGCGCCTGGGTGGTTCAGTCGGTTAAGTGTCTGACTCTCAATTTCAGCTCAGGTCATGATCTCAGGATCCTGGGATCAAGCCCCACTTCGGGCTCCTTGCTCAACGGGGAGTCTGCTTCTTTCCCTCTCCCTCTGCCCCTCCCCCCCACTCTCTTTCTCTAAAATAAATAAATCTTTTTTTAAAAAAAAGAAAAAAAATCCTCCCACACACCCCTAAGAGCCTTCCTTCCCCAACGTGATGCCCTGTCAGTATTACAGATGTTTTCTTTCCTTCCCCGATTCTCTTATCTCCTCCCCCTCACTCAGCAATAAGTTTTACCTACTTCACAGGAAAAAAGCAACTCCCCAACACCTACAGAGTTATTGCCACTGGCACTGGTGATTTACTCCTTGCCTTTTTCAGAGAAAGAGACATCCCTCTTCTTGTCCAAGGTTAGCCTCACCTCTTTTGCCTGGGAATCCATCTCCTCCACACTCCATTAATCATCCCTTCTGTCTCCTAAATTTTCAATCATTCTTTCTTCACTGGCTCTTTGAAGGATATAAACATGCCCAAATCTCTCCTACCTCAGCCCCACAAACTCCCTCTATGTACCATCCAATTTTTTTTTGAGAGAAGAGTTTACACCCACTGCCTGATTCTCATCACCCTTACATTCGTCAGTCTCTCCTGCAATCTGCTCTCCAGCACCATGCCACTGAAATGGCACTGTCTAAAGCAGTCAGTTATCCTTACTCTCAAAATTATTCTCAAAATCCAATGGCAGATGTTCTATATTTTTCTTGTTCACTTTAGGTAACATTTATGATTCTGGTGGGTGGGGTGAGGCCCTCCTACCCGTGGGTTTTTTTTTTTTTTTTTCACAGTGAAGGAGGGTGGTGAGGCCATCTGCTGAAAGTGATGTGGGTGGGAGCAGGGTGAGGGGAAGGGATCAAGAAGAGTGGTGATGGTGATGAGGCGATTGGAATAGCCACTGAGGAGAATGAGTGGGGTCCACATGAGAACAAGGAAAATAATTGGTGACCAGCAGCAAAGGTCCAACAGTGACTGGAGATTGCTCATTGTTAGCGACACCAATGTCATTGCTGTGTGATGTTTCCTCCCAGTAGTGGTCGTTGGAAGAGAAAGAGTGAACGGTGGCATTGACCTGGGTTTGGGTCTTCGCAGGCAGGATGTCATGGAAGGATGATGGGGTGGGAGACAAGAGAGATGTGAAAGCTGGAGGGAGAGAGCACTTCGAGTGGGTAGCCATTGTACCCTGTGGGGCAGGGAGGTAAGGAAGAGAAAACAAGAAGGCTTTCATGAGGGCTAGGGAATGTGGTGTCTTGGATCTGAAGCCTCCATCTGTGAGATCAAAGAACAAGAACACAAGACTGGATGGGAGCATAAGAAAGCTGAATAAGACAGAACTAGTCAGAGCATGGGGTATTGGGATATAAACCGTCATAGGTGGAAAAGTTTTGGGGAATAATGCATAAGGGATAATGGTTAAAGGAGATAAGTCACAGTTAGGACTCTTCCAGTTGTGAGTGACAAGAGCCGAATTCAGCAAACTTAAGGAAAAAGGGAACAGTTACGGTTATTTGTTGCTATATTACAGTCCCCTAAGCTTAGTGACTTTAAACAATGGTTATTTTAGCATATAGCACAATTTCATGGATCAGGAATTTGAGTAGGGCCCAACTGAATGATTCTTCAGCTTCCTGTGGTATCCACTGAGGTCACTTGGTGATATTTAGCTAGCTGCTGGGCTGGGCTGGGCTGGGCCAGAGGGTCCAAGATGCCTTCACTCACATGCCTGGCATTCTGCTGTGGACAGCCAGAGGGCTGGGCTCAGCTGGGCCCCTCTCGCTTTCCATGCAGTGTCAGAGCCTTGCCTATCATGGTCTCTTCCAAGGCAAAAGTTGCCAGTCCTTTTTAAGGCTAGGCCTGGAATTGATAGAGTGTCACTTCCATCATATTCTCTTAGAGCAAGTCACAGACTAGCCAAGATTCAACGGGAAGAGAAAATAGACCCCGTTTCTCCATGGGAGGAATGCCAGAAATTTGCAGCCATCTGTATGTAATCTGCTACAGGAACATATTGACCATCTGTTAAGTCTAAGACTTCAACAACAGAGATTTATTTTCTCATAGTTCTGGAAGCTGGAAGTCCAAGATCCAGGTGTCAGCAGGATTGGTTTCTCCTGAGACTCTCCTTGGCTTGCACATGGCCACCCTCTTGCCTCTTCACATGGTCATCCTTGTGTGCACACACACCCCTGCTCTCTGTCCTTCTTCTTCTTCTTTTTTTTTTTAAAGATTTTATTTATTTATTTTAGAGAGAGAGCAAGAGAGAATGAGTGGGGGGAGGAGCTGAGGGAGAAGGACAAGCAGACTCTGTGCTGAGTGCAGAGCCCAATGCAGAGCTCGATCCCACAACCTGAGATAATGACTTGAGCCGAAATCCAGAGTGTGCCACTTACCTACTGAGCCACCCAGGCACCCCATCCCTCTTCTTACAAGGGCACAAGTCATATTGGATTAGGACCCACCTAACAGCCTCAGTTTAACTTAATCACCTCATTGAAGGCCCTATCCAAATACAGTCACATGGATTAGGGTCCATCCATATGACCTCATTTTACCTTAATTACCTTTTTAAAGGCCCTGTCTTCAAATACAGTTACATTCTGAGGTATTGGGTGTTGGAACTTCAGCAAATGAATTGGATGGGATGAGGAGGACACAATTCAGCCTATAACAGGGAATATCTGTGCTTCAGGCATGACTGGATCTAGGTATTCAAATGACATTATTAAGCGTCTGCCATCCTCATGCCTTTGCTCTGCTTCCTTCTGTGTTTACTTGACCTCTGGAGGCTCTCTCCACCTAGTGGCAAAATGGCCAGGAGCAGCCACACGATTGTATCCTATCTCAGCAACTCTAGCTGAAACAGGACTTGTCTTCCTCTTGGAGACACATCAATTCCAGAGAAGACTCTGATTGTCCCTGCTTCAGTCCCAGGGCCATCCTCAACTAATGTCCAGGTGGGTGAGGTACTTTTGTGAGCCAGTCCTAAACCTGCCTACTGTGCAATTTCGGTCCCATGGAAACCACAGTAAAAGCTCCCACACGTGCTTCCCCCTCCCTCCTACCTCCTGACCGACCCTGGTGCTTCCCTGTGTGGCCCTGTGTGGCATGGTGTGCCCCCTCTTGGGAACTTTGAAATTTTTTTTTAAAGATTTTATTTATTGTCAGAGAGAGAGAGAGAGTGCACAAGCAAGGGAGAGGCAGAGGGAGAGGGAGAAGCGGGACCCTGGGATCATGACCTGAGCTGAAGGCAGATGCTTAACCGACTGAGCCACCCAGGGGTCCCACCTCTTGGGAACTTTGAATAACAAACTATCTTTTCAACGCAACCATCCTCCGATCTGTTGGCTTCACCACACTTGAATACACACAAAATCCCACTCCTGGGGAAGAGCCAGACTGGGCAAAGCAGAGGGCCAGGGAGCAGGGCAGTTGCAGTTGCCAGGGCAAGAAAGGGAAGGGACCAGTTATGGATTCAATGGTACATCTACACAACAGAGCACTACACAGCTGTGAAAAAGACTGAGGAAGCTGTCAATGTACTAATATGCCCAGATACAGCAGAAATATTAAGAGAAAGAGGAAAGGTGCAAAAAAAATTAGTCTGGAAAAAAAAATCATATACATATTGAGACATTACAGGGCTGGGAGAGAAGCTGAGGAAAGGCACCACCATGAAGGGCCACTGGGTTGGAAGGCTGGGACTTTGTCGTGGGGGTGCTGGGGAGCCATGGGATGGCTGGGCAGGGAAGATGCAGGCCAGCTCTGGGGCAGGAGGCTGGAAGAGAGGCTAGGAAGAGGATC